TATTTCCTTCAGCTGAGCAAAAATCGGGCCCTAGTGTTTTCTCGGTAACCCTGTGACAGGCTTTATTCACTCGCAAAAAGTATTCTACACCAAGGTTCTATCTCCCCCACCCACCCGTCCACCCTTCCTGATGACCCTCCTTCCTTTGGCTGTCTCTTGCTCCCAAGAGAAAGAGCAAATAGAAGATTTACTCATCTGTAAGTAATAATGTACTTGGCTGATAACAGAAAGGTTAGAAGGTCAAGTGCACACAGAGGCACTACAGAAGAAAGGACTGGTGATCTATGTCCAAATAAAAAATCATTTGAAAACCCTTTGGAGCACAATTCTACACTAAAATACCAGGGGTCAGCATGAATGTGAAGTGACTCTTTAGCAAGGGTCGATTGGTTACTATGTGAGGGACAACCAACTTGATTTGGCCTTGTGTCTCTGGTTCCTGAAAATATCTCTTAGAATTATTCATCAATCAAGGTGCCCATTATTTTCTAAAATAGCCAGGCAACACTTAAATGTGTGCAAGTGAGTGGGGCTACATAGACCGCACTCTGTAACCAAACCTCAGGAAATAAGGGAACTTGATGATATCAGACATGCATATCCAACAATTCCATCATTCGTTAACTTGACTATCAATGAGCCAATAAGAACCCTCCTGATGGAAGTTGTAGAGGATTTCCTTCATTGAGAAGAACATGCATGGGAGAAGGTCACAGCTCCCTAGAGAGTGGAAGGCTTATTATGGCATCTTTACTGATGTGTCTTCCTACTCGATATGTTTCTCTCTATATATATGTTTCTTTCTGGTTATTAAGAAAAAAACAGAAATTAGTAGTGTAGATAGACTGTGCATTCTGAGAGTTTTTCTAGTGAATTATTGAACTCACTGGAGGCAGTGAGAACCAGCATCCATGTCGGCTGTTGCCATTTTGTCAGGGGCTAGAAACGTCTCCTAATGTGTGGAGACCAAGCTATGGGTGGTTCGGGTCTGAGAGAGGAAGTACCACGTTTGGTTAGTGTCGGTATGAAGGAGTGGGAAATGGGGCATATTTTGGAAACCAGCCTCAGGCTGGTTCTGGTTAACGTGCTTTGCTCATGCTGGCTCCCAGAAAGCATCCCAGTCTCTCTCGTCTGCCCTTTGCTCTTTACATCCCAACTCTGTCTTACTTAGCTAGTGCCTCCCGTGCTGTAAGGGAAATACTGCAAGTAGGTAAGAAAAAAATTTTTTTTCCTCATAGTTTAGGAGGTTAGAAGTTTGAAGTTAGGGCACTGGCTCTAATTCCTTAGAATTGTCTCTTAAAGCTTCTGCTCAAAAATCTTCAAGTGGCTTAGCATCTCTTTGCCCCCATATCTGCTTGCATGTGAGGTTAACCCCCAGCATTCAAAGTTCAAGATAAACAAACGATGCAATTCCTATTTTAGCTTTGAACTTCATAGCTTAAGCAATGAGTAAAAGGTTACCGAAGCATAGTAAAAAATCACATCCCTTGGTGGAGAATAGGAGGTAGGGTGGAATAGTGGGTTCTGCATTTGGGCTTCTGAGTTAGTTTATTGTGCCAACCTGGCTGATAAACACATGTGGGGTTAATTGAAGGGCAGAGAGATAAATGGCTTGGTGAACCTCGCCTTTCTAGTTCTCGGGTCTCTTGCTTTGTGATGGTCGCACCAGGGTGCAGCTGCCTTAGCTAGTTCCCTGCTTCAGCTGGCAAGGCTGACTTCCTGCAAGACATCCCCAAGGAGAAGCCACATGGACCTACCCTGATGCAGCCCTGGGTGCTGGAGCAGCCGTGTGGAGACCCCTGCCAGAGCTGAGATGCTTCCACGTTCACTGACTTGACTTTCCTCCTGCAGTCGGCATCATTGCGTCTGTTTTGTGAGATGGAGGAGGACTTTGTGGACTGGTGTAGGGCATTTAATGGGTTAATGTTGGACTTGTGGGCTTGGGCAGCACTGGATTGGGATGTTTTCTTGATGCGCACTTCACCTATATATAAAACTCTCTCTTATACATGAGTTGCTATGGATTTGTTTCTCTAAAGTACCCAGACTGACAGACTCACACAGCTTCTAACCACAAGGGTCCGCGTTCCGCAACCACCAGAGACAGAGGAGGCTCTACTCCTGCGAAGACGCACGGCCTCGGAAACTCATGTTTAATAAGTGTCTAACTTTGCAATCATGTTAGCTTCATCGCTCACAGTGCATGACCTATAAAAGGTTAGTCACTTCCACAGGACAGGCAGAATCTGAGGTTGGACAAGCCCTCTGTCTCCTTTTGTGTGCTAAAGAATACAGGTCTCTCTTTCCCTGACCTTTCTAGAGTACACTAATAGGTGAGAGAGCACTGGGCTTTAGCTAACATTAGTTTGTGTTCAGTCTCCTTTACAGAACAAGAGATTGGCTCAAGAGACTACACGAATAGAATAGTATAATAAAAGAATATTATTTTATCACATTTGTCTCACTAATATAATAAAAAAGGTAACTCGTTCCTAAATGGACTGCCATTCAGTCGCTTCTGACACCTAGTGACCCGGAGGGCAGAGCAAAAGTGGCCCGGAGAGTTTCCACGGCCGTAAAGTGTCATGGAAGAGACTGCCACACCTTCCCCACCAGCAGTTGGTGCGTTCTCGCTGCGGCCTTTTGGTCAGGAGCCTCGCGTTTTAGCCACTGTGCCACTAGGGCTCCGAATGAGATGATAACCATTGGCATAGATGTTTAGGGTTTATACTTATTTGGTGGTGGGGTGAAATTTAATCAGTAACATTTTAATAAGGACTCAACTTCTTATTTACCAATTAAAAGGGGAGACTTAGCAAATAGGATTTCCCATGGTGAAAACAGATTTACACTACTGTGTATATACAACACAACACCCTATTTGGCAGAGGCAGATTTGAAGTGGGACAGGGTTGGAAGCGTATCTGATATTTGGTTTTATAAGAAGTATATGCCTAAGATAGTCAAAGCGGGAGGTATATTGGAATTGAGCTTCTGCACTGGTCAAATGAGCAATCAGAGCCCTAGAAGTTATCTATTCCATGAAGAATGGATGAAGAGCCAACAGAGGGGAATGACGATCCTTGCCTTATCGTTTTCTAGTTCTGCGGCCTGGGGAAGAAAGTCGCTGCACTACTGGGGCCTCCGCTTCCTCATCTGCAAATGGGATAGGAGAGGCTGTGTGAGTCAAGGGAGTAAGCCAGGGAGGAAGAGATGGAGAGTCTAAAGCTTTGCTGAATACCAAGCCCCCATGACCGATCCTCTGGCCGCATTCCCTTTTGGAGCTCTTGCAGGCAGAGCTGTCTGAGTCCCCAGCACTGACTTCATACTTGCCCAGCAGACTTTTCATGGCCTACTGTGGTTGGCACTTGTTGTCTGTCTCCAGATTGTGTTCGTATCCACTCTGTATCCCACATACCCAGCATAGAGAAGGAGCTTAGGAAGTGCTGGGGAGGCAAGTCCATGGGGGAGGGGGAGGGAGCAAGAGGTAAGCCCCACCAAAGCAGAAGCAGGCTTCATAACTGGTGTTAGGGTTGAACATTTTTCCTGTAACTGCCTTCTCTTGAGACACAATATTTGTCTATTGCTAATATGGAACTCAGCCCTCCTTTCCCCTGCCCAGAACACAGGACAGGGTCCCATGGCAACATGGGGATGAGTGGACACACAATGTTTCTGTGAGCTTGACCAGGAATGCATGCTCCCTACGTCTGATGAGGGTTTTCCAGCTCTCAGTGCTTATATGCATACTAACAGAAAGGCCGGTGGCTGAAATCCACACCAAGAACCTCCAAGAAAGACCTGGCACGTGCTCCCGAAAGGTCACAGACAGAGGACAGTTCTTCTCTGATGCACGTGCGCATCATGAGCCGGAGTGGACTCCATGGCAACTGGCCGTTTTAGCGCCTTCAGGAGGTGTCGGTGTTTGCGCTACATTATACCCAGACAAACGGGGATCGTGGGGTCTTCGAGTGGGGAAGGGAACACTCCGGATCTGACCTTAGCCCTGGGGAGTCAACCTGGGCTCCTTCCAGACATGCACTGGTACCTGGAAGTCAATGGCAGCTTTAGTCTTTTCAGTAAAAAGTAACACTTAACTATCAACATGGACAGCTCATGTTTTCCTCAAACCACCATTCACTGAATAAATAAGTCCCCCTTCTCCCTATTTAAGTGCTCCTGTGGGGTGAACCATGAGTCCCGATGGGGTAGTGGTTAGGAGTTGGGCTGCTAACCAAAAGGTCAGAGGTTCAAAACCACCAGCCGTTCTGTGGGAGAAAGACAAGACGTTCTACTCCCGTAGAGTTACAGTCTCAGAAACTCAGAAGGGTAGTTCTACGCTGTCCTATTTGAGTTAGCAGCAACTCATTGGCAGAGAGCTTGGTTTTGAGTTGCGGTGATCACTTGGGCCTCGCATTGAGTGAGCCTGCCAAGTCAAGGAGTGGAAGTGATCTTTGCCCCATGAGCTTCTTTATGTCTTCCTGAACCAAAACTCCCAGGAGGGGCCCTGGTGGTACAGTGGTTGCATGTTGGTGTGATTCACAAGGTCAGTAGTTTGAAACCCCCAACTGTTTCATGGGAAACTCTCAGGGGCAATTCGACCCTCCCCTACAGGGCCACAATGGGTTAGAATTGAATCCATGGCAGTGAGTTTGGTTTTAGAACTAAAGCTCCCAAGGTGGCTGAGGGAAGCCATACGCCCAAGAGGATGTTAGGAACCACAGCTAACCCTTTCTTCAGGAATCTCCTATGGAGGTGTTTCAGGCGGATCTACTTTCCTGCCCAAGGCAGACGAAGCAGGGGAGGACTTCCAGCGAGACATAAGTGGTAGAGCCTTGATGGACAATCTTAGAATTAAATGTATGGGACCACTCGTAGGTGCTGAGTTTGGGGAAAGAGTTTGGATTGCTTAGGTGGGGAACACCCAGTAGAACAGGATTCCATGGCAAAAGCTGAGTTCTTGACTCCCAAGTCCCCTGGGATGCAAATGCTGTGCTCACCTTCGACCAGTCCCCTGTCTTCCACTCATAGCAGCCGGAGTAGTCTTGGCACGCCTCCTCAGCTCTGGGCCTCCTGGCGGCATCACAGTTTCCTTGTGTGTTGCTGCATGTCACATTTCGTTTTTGGGTCCCGTTACCACAGTTGGCAGAACACTGTAAGAAACCACTCAGCTATTTAGATCAATGCAATTAGGTGCAAGTCCATCAATACCTATCGAGTCCCTACTGTGTACCAGGTCCATTTAAGGGATAAAAACGTGAGGATGATGTGGTTTTCCTCCTCCTCACACATCTCCAGGCCTTACTTCTGGAAGTCTTACCCCCACAGGGACTTCAGTCAAGTGGCCAGTGAGGAGGGTTTGCATCGGGAGGAGAGGTCATGAGAACAAGGAGTACGAAGGACTCAGGGAACCTGGAAAGTTCCACTAGGGCCTGTTGCCAGGCTCAAAAGACCAAGGGAGTAGACAAGGTCAAAGGGAAAATGCTGTGGGGTAAAACACATGGGAATAGGGGCTAGGCAGAGCCAGGAGGGAAAATGAAAGCCCAGACGCCTGAGGTAAAGGTCAGTGGTTCAAGCCCACCAGTCATTACACAGAAGATGTGCAGTCTTCTGAAAAGATTTACTGCCTTGGAAATGATAGGACAGGTCTATTTTGTCCTATAGGGGTTGCTATGAGTCAGAATCTACTTGGCAGTAGTGGGTTTGGTTTGAGCTTTCTAGCAGTGATTTTCTGGACCTTTAAACATTTACATACACTGTGCTCTCTGGAGAAAAAAGTATGCATAATGACAAACAAATATTATTCTTTATGAGATATTTCTGAAGTTAATATTTATCCCAAGATGGCATCAGACTTATGTGGGGAACAGAAGGAATTCTCTTAAGTTGTCTCCCCAAAATATGTACCAAACTTAGCTGCTTAAGAGTGACTCTCGGCGAAAGTAGGTCAGAGATTATTCTCCTTGACATTGGCCATCTGTAGTGGCTAGACCATTAGTCTGACTCACCCTGAATAAGACCCACTCCCTTCTGATAAGGATAATGGTGGTCTATTCACTTGCAGAGATACCAGAGAGGGCAAACCCGCCCAAGGGTGACCAAGGTTAGTTAGCCATTATCAGCTGTTTAGATCAAGCAGATACCACTGTCTATTCCACAACCAATGTGGGCACACCCCTAGGTGATTCCTCTCCTATTGATTGTATTGCCTATGCTAATATCCCTCCTGATGACTCAGGCTATTGTCCACTATCAGGGAACTTGCATGCTTCCCAGAATAGTAATGGTCTGCTTTATTATGTGAGACATTAGAGCGATCAAACTTGTTCTAGAATGAATTGTATTGCCCCTTTCTGTGATGTATGATTACGATACGTGGTTAGCAATAAATAACGAGGCTCCCTGGTACTCGGGAGGGTGGCCAGAAGGTGACTAAGGAGGACGAAGCAGCGGCTTCTTCTCTGATGGCTAAGCCCCCTCCACGAGGACCATCAAGCCGGGCTGAGGTGAGATATGCTACCATGAATTGCGTCTGACTCCATTACTTGACTCTATCCTTTAACTCTCATGCTCTCTATGACTTTGCTATAATCTCTACTTATTATCGCTGTACAATTGCGCCTACCAAACCTGTGATGTTTTGTGGGGTTCCTTCTTACCCTTAACCCCACAGACTTATTTTTCCTATGAATTCAATTTAGTCTTCCAACAGAAAGTCCTTTTGAATATTCTTTTTATACTGGTTTCAAATGTTTTGCTTCAGAAGAAATACACACACTTCAGAAATGGCGACGTTGCATCCTGGGGGACTGGGAGGATACATGTACTTGATTCTGGGTATGGTGTAAGGAAAACACTGCAGTGAGAGAAGAGTCCCTGGATGGTACACATGGTTAACTCACTCGGCTGTTAACTGAAAGGTGGGCAATTTGATTTTACTTAGAGGCACCTTGGAAGAAAGATCTCCTTCCAAAAGATTAGCTTCTGAAAGCCGTATGGAACACAGTCTGACATACATCTGTCACCGTGAGTCAGAACTGACTTGATAGGAACTGTCTTGGAGTGTCAGTGGTCCATCTCAGTAGACTTTGCATACAGGGTCTTATAGACATGAGGGGTTGGGACCAGGAGGGCCATTCTGGGGGACCTCTGGGCCCCTACGTGTAAAGGTGGCCTCTGCTCAAGCTGCCAGCTCTGCTTCTCTTTGTTCAAATTGTTCCTGGCTATTTCAGCAACTTGCTCCTATCACTGGGCTCCTGGGCTCCTCCTTGGTCCCAGGACACACACGAGTGTTTCCTCTTGGAACTGCGAGCCGACTCACCACTTCTGCTTGGGTTCCTACTTTACCTGACTCTATTCAGCTGTCTGTCCTTTCCCCCGGAATTCCAGATACTGGATTTCCAGCCAACTACTTTTTAAAAACTAGTTTTTATTGACATATGGTTCGCATATCATACTTCCATAGTCCAGTCGTGTTAATGAGCTGTACAATCACCACAATTAGTTCCAGACCATTTCTTCCCCTCTTGTACTTGTTATTAGTTCCCCACTTCCCTCCAGCCTCTGCACCTCTGCACCTCCAATACGTCCCTAATCCAGTTATAATCTCTATAGCTTCACCTCACCCAGACTTCATATACTGGAAAACATACAAAATATAAGAACAAGAATAATAATTCAGGGAATGATGGGGGGAGAAAGGGGAAACTGATTGCAATGATGGACATATAAACACCCCCAGAAACATGGGTGGAAGGACAGCGTGGATGGTGTAAGATAGGAAAATAATAATAATTTATAATTTATCAAGGGTTCATGAGGGTGGGATGGTGGAAAAGGGAGGAAAAAAAATGAGGAGCTGATACAAGGGCTCAAGTAGAAAGAAAATGTTTTGAAAAGGATGATAGCAACATATGTACAAATGTACTTGACACATGGATGTATGGATTGCTATAAGAGCTGTAAGAGCTCCCAATAAAATGATTTATTAAAATTATAAAAGAACAATTAAAAAAATGTTCAAAACACCAATAAAATAAATCAAAGAAAAAAAGTACACTAAAAAAAATGCAGGAAGTATTAAAAACTAGAACAAATTTAAAATGGGTTAAAAGGGAGATCAAATGACCAGGTATCACATTTTAACCTAATGACACCTGTCCTAATCGGGTTTATGATATTCTCTGTCTGATCGCAGGGCTGTTTACAGCCCTCAACTATGGGCAGAGGGGAGTCATCAAAGGCTTACTCCATGTCGGAACCTTGCAAATGTAGTTTGAGTTCCCACTGTCACCCGTTGCCTTCTGCACATTCAGTGTTCACAATTTAAGCTCTGAACCATTCCATCCTTCGGATTTGGATTTTATTGTTTATCATCTGGATCACACAGGCTGATGTGCTTCTTCCATGTGGGCTTGGTTGATGTCTCTCTTATATGGTTGCTTGTTTGAAGACAAGCCTTTAAGAGCCCAGATACTATTCTTTTTGGTAGCCAGCCACAACCTGTTTTCTCCACTATACTTTGTGGTAACCCCCTTATCTTCAGTAATCTCCTCGTGAGGGCAAGCATAATGTGTTAACCATTTTCATCACCCAAGCCAAACCAGTTGATGTTGGATAAAACACCCAATACTTGACCAAACCCTGCTTTGTCACTTTTGACTAACAGCGCCTTTGCTCGAGCCCTTTGACTGTAGGAGGGCAGTGTCCGGGGCTGATGCTGCCTCTCCGAAGGCCCAGGAAGGGTGCCTTGGCCATTTCTCTCTGCTTCTGATGCAGGGACAGGGTCTGGCAGCCAATGACAGGAGAGGTCACTGCCTTTACTTCCCTCCAAATGATCCTCATTCGAACGGAATTGAGAAGAAATAGGTGGAGGGAAAGATCATTATCAATAATGATAGCTAATTCAGAACAACCACATTACTAAAACTCCCCAATGAGGACAAGGAAGCCCATTTATTTCCAGAAAAAGAAAGAATAGGGTGGGGTGGGAGGCATGTCTTAACACACAGAGAAGTTGCAAAAACCCCAGATTTGGGAGAATATTATGGGAAAGGATTGACTCCAAGTTAAATGTGTAGAGAGAACTATTTTGTTCCAGCCTGGGCAGAACCTGAATTAGATGAAGTAGGTTGGATCCTCGTCTAGGATTAAGCATGCACATGTCCATGGACACCTACTGCTTGCTTATTGACACGGCTGGGTTCCAAAGACCAGGTCGCTATGTCAACATTGATGTTATATGAAAATGGAGAATGCCCACCTGAAATCACCAAACAGGTGATGATTTTATTGTTACATAATTGACAAATTATATCATTACATAACTGTCAAACTACTGAGAATTAATGGCTTACCCAACTTGAAACATAAAGCTTAACCTTTATAGCCACTAATACACTCACCTTGTACCTTGGTGTTTGTTACAACCAGACATGCTTCATTATTGTGTAAAATAAATGTCAGATGAGATAGCTGCTTATAATTGAGGAGCAGGTGTATATAGATAATTACATAAATATAAAACTGGTTGCCTCAAGTAGAGTTCAACACATGGTGACTGTGCATCAGAGTAGAACTGGGCTCCATCGTGGCTGGTTTTCTTCTGAGGTACCTTTGGGTGGATTCTAACATCCAACCTTCAACCTCTTAGCTAGCAGCTGAATGTCTTAACCATTTCCATCACTCAAGCCAAGCCAATTGCCGTTGAATACATTCCAGCTCCTGGGGATCTTATGTGTATCCGAGAAGACTCCATATGGTTTTCAATAGGTAACATTTTGAGAAGAAGATTGCTACACTTTTCCTCCTGTTAGTAGATGAACACTCCTATATTGACTTCTACGTTGATACAAATATTTATTTAAATCTTGCTTTACTTGTCTCGTGTTTTCCAAATGTGGTGTTCTTTAGTGCTATAATAGGAACTGACAGTTTCAGGCTTGGCTATTTCAGTACGAAGACCTTTTTCCTCCCTTACAAGAGTCTCAGTGAACAATTGACAGTGTGGGTGTCATTAAGCACAAATCTTGGTTAGATCAAGGACCTTAAGGCTCACTTGACAGTGAGGGAGAGGATTGCTTACACATTCCCCCTCCTCTAGTACATAGCCAAAAAGAAAGAAAGAAAATACCTGAGGGTTTAACTTACAAAC